ACAAGATCCACATCTCATTTTCCTGACGATCCCTAGCTGGTCCCTGAGGGATAACACTCTTCCAGCCCTACTCCAGCACCAGTCAAGCACCACAGAAACAATTAGGGAGAGTTTGTATTATCGAAAAGAATTGCTAATTTTCCACTGAGGTTTTTCCATGTGGGCCCCACAGGACTGGTGGCACCCAACCAGTCCAGTCTGTTGAGTTTTCTTTTTCCCTTCCCATCTTCATGTGCTTTTTGCTGTTGTTGGAAATAAGATACTTTATAACTGTCTCAATTCTGAAGGACTTAAGCAAAATCTCCCAAGTATAGACAGTTAATTCATGCACCCTTTCTTTCTGTTACTCCAAATAAATTTTGCATTTTAGACAGCAAGTAGAAGAATTCTGTGTTGTTTACTATTTTCACTGATTTATGCAGGTCAGCTGCTTTAAAAGTAGTTTACAAATTATTTGCAGAATAAGAAGTGAGAAGAAGAGAAATTAAGTGACAGATTCTCAGAATTTCTGCCAGTTTTGCAACTACGGAGCATCCAAGCTTTTCCTGAGTCTTTCATTAAAATATTGTGAAATAGCAAGCAAAGAAAAGAACACTCCTTATTTACAACCTCTTCACACATGTTTTGAAATTAAATTCAGTATTGAATTTTATAACAAGTTTTAAATAGTTTTGCAGTGAACTTCTGCTTGGGTCAGTAACTTCATCTTCTGGATTTTAAATCTACTTTTTTTGTTTGTCTGTTTCTTCTTAACATCAACAACATAGATAACAAGCAGAAATATTTATTACCTATTAAATTCTTAAATAGGATCTACTAACTGGTATCTCAGTGGGGAAGGGGAGGGCAAAGGACAGTCAGTACACAACACAATAGGTGGATCAAGACAGGAACTTCTTCTAGTGAACAATATTTGGAAAAACCTCGGTATTTATGAAAAGTGTTGCCTGGGTGAGCTCCTGAGTTTTCAAATGGCCAAACAGGCTAAGTGGCATTGACTCCAACTTCTGACTCGCAGAAGATGATGGAGTGCATTGTTTCTGCCAAGGTTTTAGCTCAGTACTTATAAGCAGAAATTAATTGCACTGAAACTTGAAAGACAAAGCCACCAATTAATACTTAGTTTTTCCTTGGATTTTTTTTATAGAATTCATATATTTTATTATTTTATACTAAGTTTTTTTCATCTGAAGCCAAAAACTATATATTTTAATCTGGTTTTCATTGCTTTTATTCGGTTTGGCATTTGCTTGTGTGAATATTTTCATACATGTACAAAATCTCATTCAGTTCAGCACTACTACTTACACGGAGAGATAAAGAAATACTAATGGACGCAGCTACACGGGAAAATTGTACCTGTTAAAGTGTTAATTGTTTAACTGTACTTAGGAAATCACTTATGACCTCTAAGTAGGTCTTATGCAGTCTTAAGGATTGAGAACTTGCTTTCTAGTCTTCTTGAGAAATGGGAACCACAGTCTTTTTTTCTAGAAGAGATGAGATTTGTAAGTAAAATCTCAGCTACAGAACAAATCTTAACCTACTCTCTTTATCATGGAATATTCTATTTTATTTTCTCAGGGAAAAAAAATGGTTATATGCATATAGATTCATTAAAATTCAAGAGAAGCTACGGTATAAATTACTAGTTAGAATGTGTTGGATTTTTTTTTTTTTTTACTACATGTTTATTTAGAGAAAAACACTTTATAACTCTCCAGTTGCTCAACTGTTTACCAGATTTTCATCTAAGATATATTTAGTGTTGGTATTTGATAGAGAGATCCTATAATTACCTGTGCTGTATTGACTGCTTGTCTCTTTGAAGTTTTAATTTTAAGTGATGCCACTTGAGCAGACTTCAGAAAAGCAGAATGTAGAACACAACTTTGAGCCCCATCCTTGCACACTCAAAACATCCATTGGGTTTAACACAAATTTAGGTGAGTCAGGAATGCAGAAATAGCTCCTGTACCCTCTATGCAGACAGAGTTAAACAATGCAGTTGGAGAAACAAATAATTGGAAAAATAAATATGCCAAGAAATAATACATAACAATACGTTTTCAGCAGCCTTGATATAAAGTGGAGACTCTAAGGTGGAAAAATGACATTTACTCCACAGAAGAAATGGTAGAAAGCCTTAACGCTTGGTTTAGGAAAGGAGAATTCTAGACAAAGAAGAGAAGAAGAGCAAGCAAATACAAAGCCTAATAAGGACATCAATGAGAGTTTCCATCTCAGTTCTTTATTTCTTGACAGCTAGGACACACATAAGCCTTAGGTTAGACAAAGTGCTTTTCTGCTGCTACAGCTCAGCTGGTTTTGTGATTGGAGCTGCAAGTCACAAAAATTAATGCTGTGTTATTGACTGACAGATTTTACTCTTCATTCCTCTTACAACAATTCAGGCTGGGCAGGTTTTAAAGGAACTGTGTCTGACGAAAATAGACTTTCTACTTATCACTAAATTAAGTTTCTTTCTGGCCTGGATTCCAATATCTGTTCACTATGTATTTTCATAGGCAGTGGACATCAGTGTTTAAGAACTGTCACAGCAGAGGGCTCAGGAGATAAAAAGGGGTGGACTAATGAGTCTCAACAAACACTAAACAATACTTCACTGTGTTCACAGAGAGGATGTGACTGCAGAAGGCAAAGATATGTGTTTCTTTACTTTTCACAACCACAGGGCCTCTGTTTACATGCAAAGCACCAAGACTTGTGCGTAGCCTGGGCTGCCCTGTCACTACCAAACATCCCAGTTCATCACTCAAGATGTATTTGTCAGCCAGGACTATATTTTGCCAAGTTAGCAATGTATGCACAGACATACATCATCATCTTGATTTACTGTATTTGCATGCCTGTAGCTTGTTAGTTCCTGGATGTCCTTAACTAGAGGATGCTGGCTGCTGCCTGTTCAACTGATTTGGGCTTCAGAGCACACGAAGATCTTACATCAAAGAACACCCTGATTCATAACACTTTTGATATACTAAACTCTTTGCAACAAGGTGACACCGCGGGCACAGCCAGGGTTAAGGCGCTCAGCAGAGCGGGCTCCGCGCCTCATAAGGGGCAGCCCCGCTCCCCGCGCCGCCACAAAATGGCGGCTGCCTCTGAGGGAAGCAGCGGCGGCGGGAGCGGCGGCGGCCCCGCCTGAGGGGAGGGACGTGGAGCCCATCCCGCTTCCCGTCCTCCGCCCCAGTATCGACATCGTCTCCGCCGTCCGCCCCCCCCTCCTCCGCCTCCCGCGGTGGTGAGTAGGGGAGCCCGGTGCAGGAGGTCGTTCCCGGTCCCTGGGGCGTGCAGCTATGAGGCTGCCAAACCTCCCCTGGTTCCCCCCCGCCATTACCCTGGCGGGCGCCTCCGAGTGACGCGTCTCCTTCTCCCCCTTCTCCCCCCCTTCTCACGTCAGCCCATGTCACGATAGTCGCGGTTCCCCTCGGGGTGTCAGGGAGGGAACGAAGGCTGCGGTCGGAGCCAGCGGGTGAAAATGAGCGGGGTGGGGAGGAGGGTGGCTGGGGCTTCTCCGTCCCAAGGCGTTCCCATGTCCATGCCCGTGCGTCAGAGGATCCCGGCTGGCAGGTACTTGGTTTCGCTGTGTTGAGTCATTTTGTTTCTAGGCCGGGAGCAAAGTACCAGCAACATCCTCATAGATCCTGGTTCTCCTCATAGATAGGAGTGGCACCCGAAGGCAGCAGGGAAAGGTGACACGTGTCTTCCACAAGGGACACCTGCAGTCACTCTGGGCTGGTGGTATGAAAAGGGAAAGGGAAAAATAAATCGCACCTTGTTTTATTTTCAGTGATATACAACACTGATTTCCTTCACTGCTAGAAGGACTAGTATCTTGAAACTTCAACCGGGTGCACTTGTGACTGTGACCTTTTTTGTTCAATGCAGCTGTTGGCAAACAAATACACGGTATCTGTTCAGGAGGAACGAAATAATGATTCAGAGTTTCGTGTTTGGGTGGGTTTCTTAATACCCCTCTGCTACTTTTTTTTTCTTTATTTCAGGGTAACCGGCCAAAGAAGTTATGAATATTATCTGTGGCTTAAAGCTGCCGGGCAGGAACTGTGTTTTCTCTCGTTTGGCTTCTTTGAGCAAGCAGAGGAATTGCAATAACCTCTCTAGGTCTTATACGGGATGGTGCCGAACTAACATCATCAAATTTAGATGCCAAAGGCTGGATTTGAGTGGAAATACTAGAAACTGGTTTTTGACTGGAAACCCTTACTCCCACGGAAACTTCATCGGTAAAGGACTGAGGTGTCTTTTGAATGTCCCAAATACAGGAGTATTCAGGAATGCACGCCACAGTTCAGGAAGGCTTTGCTTCCAGTCATCTCAGCCACCAGGGGAGAAGATCACATCTCTCCAGATCAGTTCCGTGGGGCAACTCCCAAGTCACTTTTCTCATTGGAACTTTCCCATCATCAGGTCTCTTCGCACATCACCATCATTTCAGGCTGCGCCAGTTCCTCTTTTCTGGATCATTGTTAAGCCAGCTCAGAAATTACTTGCCATCATTCTTGGCAGGTAAAATACTCTTACTTTGCTCTCAGTGCAAGACCCCATCATGCAAAGTGTCAGTTTGTGGAGGGTGGCAGGTGTGTTTGTAGTATTGTTTGACTGACAGTTTGCTCAACAAGAAGGGTTTTTTTCATTTTCAGAGGTGTTAGGTGTATCTTTTGCTCTTTTCCTTCTAATTTACACATGGTAGAGGAAGGTGAACCAACACACTGAGAGGCATTCCTTCTTCTCATGTGCGAGGGAAGAAATGGAGTGGAATAGAAGCCAATTACAATGTAACCTTCCATAAGCTGCTGTGTGAGATGAAACTGTAATAGAGATACAGCAAGGGCAGACACTAACAAATTTCTTTTTAACTGTGTCCTAAGTTAACACTGTTTGTATCTTACAGGAGCATAAGAAATTGGTGGAAGGCACTTCCTCCTAATAAACGGGAACTGTTTAAAGAAAGTGCAAGAAAAAATAAATGGAAGATACTCCTGGGTGTCAGTAGCTTAGGAGTTGTATTTATCGTGTTTTATTTTACTCACTTGGAGGAGACACCCATCACAGGGCGTGCTCGACTGCTGGTGTTTGGAAAGGAGCATTTTAGAGAACTGTCACAGATGGAATATGAGATGGTAAGATTTTAAAGAAAAAAAATTGAAAATACTCCAGAACTGTTAATGCCTTTTTTTTTTTTTTTTTTTTTTTTTTTAGGTGATGAGATAATCCTATTAATGAGATGGGCAAACAAACCTTGTGGTGTCCTTGATAAGTCTTGAAGTTCACACTCATAACCCTGCTGAGCCCCCTCCATCTGTTACCTTCTCCTCTTGTCCCCATCCTTTTCAAGAGTTCCCTTTCCACCAGGAGCACATTAAGGGCCATGTGACATGCATGTAACAAACATCTCTGTTACTGTAATTGAACAGAATTTCATGAAAGAAATACAGAAATCTGGTAGGATTTTAGAAGAATAGGTGTATGCTGAGATTTGTCTCAGTTTCTGAGCTGATTTCAACATTTTTTGGCACTTGTTTAAGGTCCTCTCTTTGAAGCTGCCACTTTGTAAGGTAGTACTCTCTACCTGCATTCTGTTCTTTTTTCTATTTGATTAGCTCATTATTCTTTAATTGCCTTCTTTTAAACTGCCCATTTAAACTGTCCAGAATAGTTTCTGTAATTTTGAGTTCTGTGTCTTTGTCTTCTTGTTCTAAAGTCAGTGAAACTTGATAAATCATATCCAAATGCCACTATAGTCCTTTCTCTCAGATAGGAGTTAAGAACAGAACAAGTACAAGGATATTTTCAAAATACATGTTTTGTGTAAATTTGCCCACCTTACAAATTACAACAGAATATTCAGATAGACAAAAATTACCAATTCAGATGGAAATTCAAGAGGGGATAGAAAGGTTCTCTGAATTGTGATGCCAAGCTTAACTGTGTTTAGGAAAATGCCAGATACAGGAGGCTGTAGCACCAAGTTTATATTATCTTATTTTCGATCTGTGATCAGTTTACTTTCTTTTAAGTTTATTATTCTTTTACTTGTGGGTCTGAAAGCTTGAACTCTAATGTACTGGCTTTGGCTGCGTGAAAGAAAAATGTAGTGAAACTTAGTTTTATCTAAGTTGTGTGAAGCCACTAAGTTAGTTTATGAATTAGTCATTCACTGTGTGTTTGTTCTACATGGCAATCAGTGAACTTTTTTTTCAGTGGATGGAGGAATTCAAAAATCAGATGCTGCCTGAGACAGATGCAAGATACCAGGTTGTGGAGAGAGTTGTTGGGCATTTGTCTGAAAGCAATAAAGACATCCCAGGGGTCTCGGCACTCAAGTGGGTGATCCACGTGGTGGATGAACCAGGTGTAAATGCTTTTGTGCTTCCAGTAAGTTGAACACAATGCAGACATTATTAATAATATTGAAACAGCATTTCATTTATGTGTCTTCCACTTAATTTTTATTCTCTTTTTGCTTACAGAATGGTCAAGTGTTTGTTTTCACTGGATTGCTTGAGGCAGTTTCTGATATTCATCAGCTGTCATTTGTTCTGGGACATGAAATAGCTCATGCTGTGCTGGAACATGCAGTAAGTTTTTAAACAAAGCTGTCTAATATTCTTAAATTATTCTATTTATCTAATTGTGATCATACTATATTATACCAACCAAGTTTTCAACGTGACTCTAATTAATGAAAAATGGAGTTTGAAATGTCAAGTCTGCTACAGTAGATCCTTATTATTGGTGTAGTACTTAATAGCTGTCAGAAGGCCTGTACTGGTCCCTGTTAGCACAAAGTCTGCCAGTGTTTTTTTTCATAGCTGCACAGGTGGGTTATGGCTCACTTTTAACAGTCATTTAGAACTTGGTCTGCAGTTGCCTCTCTTATAGCTCAGATTTAAAGAACTGGAGGTCCTCAGCAACTCAGTTTGTTATCCCGTACTTGTTAACAACTACAGAAGTGGATATTTAAAATATTTAAAAATATATTTAAGATATTTAAAAATTATCCTAAACCCCACAGTGTGTTTATTAGAGTTACACACTGGTTTTGAATGTCAAATTCTGGAACGCCTGGAGCCTGATCCTTGTGATTTTGGGTGAGCAACAGTTCACAGTGTTGTTCCTTGGGCTCAGTTGAGCCAAAAAATGCATTTCTCCTAATAAAAAGAACTTACCTTGTTTGTGTGGAACTTGTGTCACCCAGCTGGCATAGAGAGAAGGATTGCATGAACCCACTTATAAGTGCTCAGATCATGTCTATTGTCCCCCATTCCCATCAGGGATCCTGTCTCAGTGATGTCTTTCTCTTCTCAAAGTAATGTAAAGCACAGTGTTTGAGGTCCCTTTATAGATTTTTCATTCCACTGAGGTGTTTCTTGGCCTCTTTACTGAAGAACTCCCTGCATGTCATCCCCATCTTACCTCCAGCTTTGAATCTCTCAAGTAAGGTGATGGCCAGATGTGTTTGTTCCAGCTGTATTCCGCAGCTGGTGTGGATTCCAGACTGAAAGTACCTTGTACCCAACTGGATTTTTTTATTTGTTCGAGCAGAGAATCTTGTGCTTGCCCTATTCCTGTGGCTGCATAGAAAAAAACACTTTGATTTTTCCAGTGTTTCCAAATTGTGTTGTGTTCTTAAGAAATGTCAGACTGCAAGGAATGAAAATGGGACAATGTCTGTTTGCAGGCAGAGAAAGCCAGCCTGGTGCACTTCCTGGATTTTCTCTCCCTCATCTTTCTCACCATGATTTGGGCCATCTGTCCTCGGGATAGTTTGGCAGTTGTTGGCCAGTGGATTCAGAGCAAGTTGCAGGAGGTAAGACTGATATTTTGTAGTATCCTTCCTGACTTCCTTGGAAAGACATTTTTACTGTTAATTTTAGTGATCATTTTGAATCTTTCACTACAGTAAATAGTATGTTTGGGGAAAAAGGCAAGAGGAGAAATAGAAGCAAAAGTTAATATTTGAGGATGTTATTGAAAGAAATTTTTAAAAATCTGATTCTGCTGTAGTTGATACTGATTTTTATTTGTCGTCATAAAGAACTTTAGATCTCCCTACGTGACTGGGTGGAGCTGCACAGGCTCCAGGTACCAGCTGCCAATTAAGGCAGATGATTATCTTTTAGAAATGTAACTTGCCCTTTAAGGTTGTGTTTGTTGAAATGCCATGTTTTTATTTTACCTTGTTGTTAAATTGTTCCTAAAGCAAATAAAATATATGGAAGTGTTTAGATGTATTGTTAGTGGTAAGAGTGGTTTCCAATATTAAAAATTCGAGAATCTCAGTGCTCTTTAAGAGTGTTTAAATCATGCTGTAGTAAAGCTTACTGAAATAATCTTTTCAGCCAGCACATATTCCAACAAAGTAAAATTCAGAGGCTCTGTGGTGCCAATTTTCTTCCACAGTCTAGTTTTTTCTCTGCCTTTGGACAGTTGCTGATTCATTTATTTTTTATAAAAGTGTGTTTTTTAAAAATAAATTTTACTTAGATCATAAAACTTGAATCTGAATTTAAGTGCAAGAGCTCTTTGGTTACTTGGACTTGATGCTTTTCCTAAGATTTCCCCCAGTTCCTCAAAGCATAAAATTAAACAGAACCAATCTGCTTTGGTGGTTCTTATGCTAATGAGGAGAAATGTGGATTCTGAACATAAATTATCTCTAAAAAGCTGGGATATGTGTACAAGGAGCTAAGAAACCAATACAGTGATGAACACTGGCCAGCATCTTGAAGAGCTGAATTTGGCAGGGAACGAGTGTGAATCAATCCTGAGACTGCTCATAATTCAGACAGCAAGATTCCACTCCCTGTCAGCATCTCCTCTCCTGTCCCAGGCGAACTGCACGGATATTTTGGAATCATGGACTGGAGTTGTGCTTTAGGTTGCAAATGGAATCTGGGTTTAAGCTCAGAGTCCTGGTGTGCTGTAGAAACAACTCTCATGGGATACTGTACGGCAAAGTCCTGGGTTAAAAGGCTGATCAACCTCATCTCCAGTAATACTGCAGTAATTAATACTTGCAGACCTTTCACCCCAGATAAAAAAGATGCTGAATGGAGAATTCAGTTTCTTTCAGTCACCAGGAGTGCAGTGTCTGTTTGTTTTCTCCATTCAACATTTGCCAATTGTGCTCCCATGAAAGTGAACCTTTCTGCATGTTTTCTCAGGATGTTTCTTTTCCTCTTCTTCCATAACTGTGTTTTGCTTTTTAAAGCCTTAGCATCCCACTCTGCAAAAGGGTTATTTAAGCCACATTGCAGTACTTGCTTATCTCTTAGTATTTGTTTTTCTCTTATGTCCTTAGAGGCTCAACTTTTTGACCTACTGACTATTGTGTATCTTTTATTATTGACTCCGAGTAGTTTCCAGTGATTCTTTGTAGGTCTTTGGGTGTGTGAGCTCCAGTTCTGCCTTTTCCCCAAAGGCTGGTGGGTTTGCTTTCCTTAATAAATTGTTAAGTTTCCTTGTGCCATTCATCTGTGCTTGTTCTTTAGTCATGTCTTTCTGAACTGCACCAAGTCAGCTTTGTTATACAGCAGCAGTTATTTTATATGGGAACTAAAGCTGGGAATTGTTCTTGGAATAGTTCAAAGCATGGCTTGGAGTTTTGCTCATGTCCTGCACACAAATGTGTACAGATGCAGCACTCCATTCTCCTTTTCTTGTCCACCTCACACCATCAGATTTGTATTTCATCTGAAAAAGGGTGGTTTTGGATAGTCAGCTTACCTGGGACTTGCTTTTCTTTAACCTAGACAGCTCTGGTAACTGATTTGAAAACACAAATCCTTCTTATTGTGCCCAGTTTCTGAGAAGGATTTTAGATCAGAGTTTGTGGTTCTCATTTTTCATTCCAGCACATTCACAGTAGGTATTTTAAACCATTTCATTTTTCAGTAGCAAATGAGCAGTACTGTGTGTGAGATGACTCAGGATTTTTTTTTGTGTAACCCATTTAATTTCCCTGTCTAAAAAATAATTAATAATTAAACATATAGTTCTTTGTCTAAGTGGGAAATGGTGCTTCAGGAATACACAACAGAGCAGTCAGGGGCATCTCTGCTGTTTGGTGAACATATGTGCACCAGCAGACCTGGATTTTCAAGGTAGTAGAGGTATTTATTCCACTTCAAGGAATGACTTTACCATCAGAGGATTTAAAAAGTATAATTGCAATATTTAAGGTCTGTATGGAAACCAAGAATTTAGAAAGTGACCTCGTGTAAGTGCCTGCTTATCAACCAGAGTATTTGGCTTTAAAAAAACTTCAGAGGATCAGCTTTGTGGGCTTCTATTTTTGACCTAGTAAAGAAAAACTGTCACTACTACTTTGGAAAGAAGCAAAAAGTTACAGTTTGAGTACAGAGTACCTTTCTGTACTCAAGGGATTTGACCTCTTCTTTGGTGCTCTTTTCAAACTACTTTGTGTTATTTGGTTTTTAGTGTTCTTTTTCCCCTGAAATTTGTAAGGATTCCTGCATGGAAGCACTTGTGGCTACATTCCATACTGTGTGCTGTTTGCCATACACAGCAGATGACACCAGGCTTTTAGGCAGTCAAGAGACAACTTTAGGGAACCACTGGAATTTTTACCTGCACTTGCTACAACAAAAATCTTGGTGTCAGTAAAAGAGTGAAGTGAAAAAATTCCAATGTCAAGTTGGTGTTGAGCCTTCAGTTGCTGCAAAATGGGACTGGCTGATGAGAGTGACCGTGAAAATAAGTGTAATTTGAATTGATTTCCATTAAATACAGGATCGATGATTTACACAGAATGGAATTAAAGATTACATTGCACATGATCAGTATTAATTTTGTTAATGTGAACAAGAGAGATAAACCCCTTTTCTTATGGGGAGGGTAGAAAGAGAGTTCCAATGCTGCAGCTTTGTGCACATTCAAACCCCAAACCAGAGCTCTGATGTGCTTCTTTGCAGTTCATGTTTGACAGACCCTACAGCAGGACACTGGAGGCCGAGGCTGATAAAGTGGGACTTCAGTTTGCAGCCAAGGTAACTGGAATTGGTTGGCTTTATTAGCAATATTTTCAGTTTCTGTTTAAATTGAAGGGAGTTTCACACTTCAGACAGAGGTCAGCTGTGAATTTTTTGAGATCTGTAGATTTATGAAGCTGTGGGAAATAAAACAGTTTTTAGGGAAAGACAAAAGTCCTGCTGCCTGATTGTAGCTAATAAAATGGAAGTCTGTAAAGTTGCACGTTATCTGCACAGTGTATTTTCCATGTAGTTTATTACTATTAGAAGAAAAACCCACATATTTTTTAACAAGGAGAATGCTAAACAGTGAGCTTCCATAAGCAGGTTTTAATTGTATGTAAAGATTTAAAAATTCAGCCCAACTGCAGCCATAGAAACAGTGGAACTTTGCCAAAGTAAGACAAAAATCTGGCCAGAAGCTACTGAGCATTTTTCTCTGAATTTATTTTTTCAGGTACTCCCCCTCTGCCCCCCCATGGATTTTAATCCTACATTAAATAAACTAAACCAACTCTTTGGTTTCTAATAAAGTGCAATAGAGCAAGGTGTCAGATAACAGTGTGAGCAGCACCATCTAGTGTTAATATTTCATAAGGAAAACTTCCCATTCTTACAAATTATTTATGTTTCTTCAAGGAATATTTTTAAAATTAACTTTGATTTTGAGATTGAAACTGCATTTTAAATTTAAAGGCATTTAGGGAAGTAACACAATCTATAAAAAACCCATAATTGCTGTGTTTGTGCTCAGTGTTTTGCGATACCAAAGATTTAGGGCTATACCAGAAAGAAATAAGCAAAGTGGCATCTCAGCATTTCTTTGCTTGTGCAAGTAATCTTTTTTAGAATAATAATAATTTTAAGAAATAAATTCAAAGAATAAAGCACCACTACTGTATTTCTGGACAGGGCAGGGGGGAAGATGTAATTTTCTTACCTTCTAGAAACTTGTACTTTTTTATTTTCTGAAATAAAATTCAGTGTAAGAAATCATGTTTGTTTTTTTTTTTTTTCTCCTTCACTTAAGTGCAAAAATAAAGGAGTCTGTTAGTGATACACAAAAGCTATTCTGAAAGTTACTGTTCCATGACTTTCTGTTCTTTGGAGAGTCAGGAATTCTGCAGAATTACTATTTTAATCTGTCATGGATTACACAGATCACCCCTGGAAAAGGCATGTAATCACTTACAGAAACGCCTTTGCTGTTTATTTTTAGAGCTATTTAGGGATGAATTATTATCACTATTTCTGACTCTAAACTTCTTCCTGTAAATTTGCCTGTATCTGTGGAGATGATTAATTTCTTCTTCTGCTCTACTTTATCTAGCAAATATAACTTAGAATTCACAGCTGAGGGTTTTTTTTGAAGAACAAGTACATTCTAGAATTTGTGAACCTGTTTTTCTCCTGAATTGTCTAATTCAGATACAAGGGTTTTTTTAAGATCAGTGGAATTACATAGATGTTGAAAGGAACAGATCCAGTGTGTGTCTGCATGAGTTTTTATATTGTATTTAGGTATGTGGAGCAGGTTTTTCCTGTCAGGTATGAGGAGGACCATCTGAACAGCCTTTAGAGGCTTAAAATTTTGTACTTCAGTATCTATTAGAATGTGTATTTATTAGATTAAAAATTCAGTGGTGTCTGTTTTCAGGCCTGCGTGGATGTCAGAGCGAGCAGCGTGTTCTGGCAGCAGATGGAGTTGGCAGAAACCATCCAAGGGCAGCCCAAGATCCCGGAGTGGCTTTCCACACACCCTTCCCATGAGAACAGAGCGGAGCACCTGGACCGCCTGATCCCACAGGTGAGCAGAGCTGCAGGAGCAGCTGCAGCTTCCCCTCTTAGGAAGGTTTGGTATTGATTCAGGAGCTACTTTGGGAAATTCTCTGCTACACAATTCTCAACCTTAAAGGTTTTATTAAATGAGGAAAATTAGGATAGTACAGAAAAATGTAATTATATTCCAGGTTTGCTTTTTTTTTTCTCTGATTTCTGATCAAAATACAGTCTTTGCTTTCGAATGGCCTTCTGCTAGAGGTGTGACAGTGTCAGGATCTCAGTCACTCTTTCCTCTTTTTTCTCCACTTTGGAAGCCAGTTTTTAAGTTGGATCCCTAAACTGTGGTGAGTTCTCTTGCTTTTGTAGCTTGGCCTAGGCTGTCAAACAGAGAGTGCTCCACCCTGTCCCCTCAGTGCTGTGACACTGAACACACCTCGAGCAGCTGAGCTTCAGAAGGATGTCAGATCCACAGGAGAAGATTTCCTAAGAGCACATTAGGGAGCAAATTTTACTCCGCTCAAGGAACTTGAGCTAATTCACACAATTGCCCATCAATCTGCAGCCTTTTCCCTGTGTTTTCTGTTGGATTTCCTCTCAGAGGAATGCCAAGTGGAAAGCTGCTGGGGGATTCTCTTAGTTTGATGTGCTATCACTGGTAGCTTAAGAACAGAGAACTTTCAAGGTTTAGTTTGTTCACTAATTCTCTAAATATGGGGGGTTTAACTACAGAAAAATAAAATGGATTTTTTTGCCTAGCTTTTTTTGTTTTGAAATAGAATGTTAAAGCACCTCAAAACAACACTATTTTTCAGCAGCTAAACTGTGTTTGGAAATACTCTTTTTTATACCAACTAGTGATTTCTTCTTCCTTTTTTTTTTTTTTTTTTTTTTTTT